GAGCGTGGCTGTCCTTCATGGTATCATATAAAAACAGGTATCTTTTTCTCCCTTTATACAGCCTATGTCACTTCTTCCTATGCTGATCACAAGCCTTCAAATATGATCTACTTTCTGCTTAGAATACTGTTCCCCTCTTTTCTTATCCCTTTCTATTCTCAGGCTCCACTTAAATACCACTTCCTCCAGGTTGCCTGCTGAAATCCAAACCCTTCACCACCCAAATACTTGTGTTCATCATTTTCTTTATTGCTAATTTTACTTAATAGTACCCCTACTGGGATGGGAAAAAGAGTAAGATGGTAAAGCACCAAAGGGAAAGGCAATTCCAGAGTTTTTCGGGCAGACCCCCTCGGCCACCTCTCTGAGCATGCTATTTGCACACCCTGAAAGTTTGCCTCACTGGGCTTATGCTCAGCTAGTGACTACTTAGCTCAATTCCTCTACATACTTCTCTGCCCCAAAAGAATTAAGTTCATTCTTCTGGGAGGTTCCAGAGTAGTGGTTTCTTAACTAGGGTACACCCATGCTGGAGGTTGGTTGGAATAAAGGGTCCACTTTGGTGTAATGAAATCCTACTTGCAAGGGTAATTAAGAAGCCAGTTCAACTTTACTCATATTCAGCTTCACTCACACTACACTGGCTAGTACTAACACCTTCAATTAGTCCATATATCAGAAGTCTCCATATCACAGTCAATGAGGTGTGACACCTTGAGAGCAGAGTGGGAGCCCCCCAAGGTGGAAGGCATGCAGGAACACCTTGCTTAGTCAATTCTGGAGTTTGTGACTATGTCCAGTTGTTTATTTCATCCAGCTGAGTATTTCCTTGACCAAGAGGTAATCAGGTTGTAATATAATCAAAAGGGTGTTTGTTGGAGAATAGGAACCCTAATCCAGTCCATAATCAAGGGGTGGTCCCAAGGATGTTCCTCCAGAATCAGGGTTGGGAGACTTAAGGGGTCAGTCAGGGAGATGGCCCCAAGTTTAGGTTATTTGTTGTGGGATTCACAGGACTGGTTCTGAAGGCCATTTGTCCACAAATGTTTGGTAGGCAACAGTCTTCAAATCGAAGGTTACAAGTGAGGGGGGTCTCTTGAGATCATCAACAGATGGCTTGTTTTTTGTAGTCACCAAATTGCCAAGTCTAACTGCTTGGTTTTCACCTAGAAGCCTCAACAAGGTGATTAGAGACGGGATGGAGTCTGTTTGATTCACAATGGATTCCATAGTGTTTAGAGATTATGGAGCTAGTTTTAACTAAACAAATGCTCAGAAAATGGATGCAACAAGATTCGTGCAAATCCACTGGGAATTAGAGATTGTTCCATTAATAAATGTGAAGAAGATAACATCAGAATCCACCCTTCTCCTATTGCTGGTAAGACCTTGTCTTCTATTAGAAACTATGAAGTAAAAACAAGGACAATCTGATCAGATCCTTTAAACCATCACCCAAAAAATAGTAATGACTACAAAGACTATCTGTGAAATGTTTTTATACTCTGTCATTAATCATTTATCTCCCCCTAAGCTATATTGAGCGTAGAGAATTTAGGTGAAGGCAGTAGGAAGTCATGCCAGTAGGAAGACATAAAAGCAAAGCTCTTCAAGAATGCTGGGACAGTGCTTCAGTCATCTGATACTTACTCACTTCGGTTCTTTACAAAATTTCACTACAGTTGATGACAGGTTTGGAAAGTACTTTTGATGTTCTTACTCCATATCAGAAAATGAAAAGTCACATGTCATGGGCAAACACTTGTTCTTGTTGCCATCGATATGGTGATAAAGCAAAGTATATTCCTTTGTCAGCAAATTCTACTAGAAGATGTACAGAAATATGGCCAAAATTGAAGAAACGAGTTAAATTTCACAGTGTGGGAAGTTCTACCACATGATTGCCTGGCAACTTGCCATGAAGGCAGCTATTTCTAGTAAGAATTTTTTAACAGGGAACTGCTTTTTTTGGCCACCAAAGAAGAGACATTGATTTCTAAATAAAACCTCCCCACTAAAAGAAATGAAGGCCCCTTGGGAAAATGGCTGCTTTTAGGGATGGAGGAGAAAAATTGTAAAATGAGCCAGGGGCAGCAAAGTGGAAGGCAAAAAAAGTGCTCCAAAATATGATGGCAGATATCAAAAGGAAGAGAGTCAGCTGGCCAGGGCTCCCACTAATCAAAACTGTAACAACATGAGCATTAAAAATTTCCATTTCCTGATGTCCAGAAGTGTTTTTTTGCAAACTGGTTGGAATCAGTTGCAATGTTTTTTAAAAAAATGAGGTCTAAAATCTGCAGATTGTTCGCTGTGTGCATTGTTTATTAAGAGTGAATTTCACAGGGCCTCCCTGGTGGCGCAAGGGGTTAGGCACCGCACTAAGAAGCAATCCGCAGCCGCTGCAGCACAAGTTCGATTGCCAGCCAGCCAGGGAGCAACACACATGGCGCAGCAGACCTCTCCTGACTCACCCACTGCTCTCCTCAGCAGTGTATTTCGTCAGTCTGCCTGTTCTGTTCCCCACTCTGTCTCTGGTGACTCCTCTCACCCCCCGCATCTCTGGCCTCAACCCCCCTGCTCTTGTATGCATAAATAAAAAATAAAAAATAAAAAGAGTGAATTTCACGGTATGCATATTATACTTCAAAGCTGTTTTTAAGGCACTCACATTGTTCTCTGCGATTATTCATTTATCATATAATTGAAAATATTGTTTGGGTGTCATAATTAACAGCTAAGCACTTGGATGCTCATTTCATCTCATCCTTTGTATATTTTCAGTTTTCGTATTTTCATAAAATACATCATCAAATAGTCAGGTATCTAAACCCTTGGAATAGTGGACTCAAATTGCCGGAAAAGGTCGTCAATCCAAAAGGCTTAGTAACCACAATTTGGAGACCACCTGTAGTGGCAGGAATGGGCATAGTGCAGGTTCTCTATGACCTGAGTAGACCGGGTAAAGGAGAGAGTCCTGGAGCCCTCGGTGGCTTTTGCAGGTTTTTATTGGGATTTACCAGGTACAGGGCAGGCAGGGGTGCCCGACAGGCCTCCCAGCCCCCCAGCAAGTCTTCACTCTTTCTGGGCTGTCGGGCATTCTCGCGGCCTCTGCTTCTCCGCTCCTTTCGCTGTTCCGTTCTCTTCTCACTTTCGCTCTGCTCTTCCATTAGTTCTCTCTGCACTGCGGGCGTCCCCCGGGGACCCCGCCCTCATAAGCCCAGTCTCAGCCCACGTGTACCTGTAACAGGGTGGTCCCCAGGAAAGGGGGAGGTTCCCTGCCCCACCCAAGGGAGGGTGGAGCTGAGCAGGAAGAGGAGAAGCTGCAGAAGAGACTGAGGAAGGAAGCAGGATGGAGCCAGGAGACCTGGAGGAGGCGCATGGAGCCTAGAGACACGTGAAGAAACTGCGCTTGTCTTTTGGTCGTGGACTGGGTGACACAGATGTGGGTGAGACCCGTGGGGAGGTGACAATGGCAGCTTTTATCTTGATGTTGATTTGGCTCTTTTCCTTCCGGGCTTGTCCAGTTGTTTGTGACCCTTTTCTGTGGGTCCCCACTGGAAGATGCTTTAGACTTGTAGCAGGCTTTGGGGCCTTGCTCTGGGCCAATCCCATTTGGATGGACTTTTACCCACGAGGGGACGGGTAACTCTGGATGCTTCCTTTAGAAACTAGACTCTTTGCCTTACCTGTATTGTTTCCTAGTTTTATTAAAGTTCCTTCCCATTAAAGTCTCCTATGTTTTGTGTTGATGCGGCGGATGGCAGAACCCATGTAGAATAGGTTTGCGGGGCTTGGGCTGCCCCTCTCCCTGTCCTATAACATACCCACCTACACAGGCCCACACCTCACTCCAGGTGCCGCCACCAGGCATGCCTTCGGGACCGCAGATCCCTCATGAATGCTAATGGCGGGAGGGCAGAAAAGCCTGATGCTTTTTCACTACACCACCCCAAGTCCGGACGCCCTCAGGAGTCTAGTAGCCCTCACGCCCCTCCACTAGGTCGCCCCTAAGAAACTTGTGCTCGAGGCGCCCCGGTCTAACTCTGGCTCCCCAGCCCTTCGCTCACAGGCCTGCACGCGGGACACAGCCGGGCCCGCTGAGCAGCCTCCTCTTCCCCGCCTCCCCGAATCCTTCCGACTCCGCTCTCCAAAGCCGGGGTCCCCAAAGCGCGCGGAGCCTCCGGCCGACGGCGCCCCGCGCCCCCGGGAGGGCGGAAGCTGCACTTCCGGGCCGGAGCGGCGCAGGCGCACTAGCGAAGCGCGGCGTTCCTGCGCTCAGGGCCCCGGGGAAGCGCGGGGTCCCCGGAAAGTGAGAGTGGGCCGCGAGTGGCCGCCCCTAAAGTAAAGAGGGAGCGCGAGGAAACTGGACGGCCCATCGCGTTCCCAGGCGCGCGCGCTGCGGGCGCCAAGCCCCCGCCCAGCCTCGCTCGCCGCGCGTGGGCGGGCGCGGACGGGTGAAGAGATCGGAAGGGGCGGGGCGAAAGCGGGCTGGGGCGGGGCTGCGCGCGGGGCGGGGCTGCGCGCGGGGCGGGGCTGCGCGGGGGCGGGGCTGCACTCCTGGCAGGGCTGTGTGGGGGCGGGGCTGCGCGCGGGGGCGGGCTGAGCGGGGGCGGGGCTGCGCGGGGCGGGGCTGCGCGCCTGGCGGGGCTGTGTGGGGGCGGAGCTGCGCGCGGGGGCGGGCGCGGGGGCGGGGCTGCGCGTGGGGGCGGGGCTGCGCGGGGCGGGGCTGCGCGTGGGGCGGGGGCTGCGCGTGGGGGCGGGGCTGCGCGGGGCGGGGCTGCGCGCCTGGCTGGGCTGCGCGCCTGGCGGGGCTGTGTGCCTGGCGGGGCTGTGTGGGGGCGGAGCTGCGCGCGGGGGCGGGCTGAGCGGGGGCGGGGCGGCGCGGGGGGGCGGGGCGGCGCGGGGCGGGGCGGCGCGGGGCGGGGCTGCGCGGGCCTCGCCACCCCGGCCTGGGGCGAGCGCGCGGGGCTGACGTCTGACCGCCGAGCCGGCGGCGACCCGCGGGCCATGCTGGCCGTCCAGGGAGCGGCGATCCTGGCGCTGGTCGCCGGGCTGCCGTGGGTGCGGGCCGGAGGCGCAGGTGAGAGGCTGCGGGGGCGGGGGAGGCCCCGTTCGGAGCGGGGCCCGGGCGCGGCCTGCTGCCCGGGGCGGGCGCGGGGCCGGCGGGGACGTGCCGGGCGGGCCGGGACCTGGGGGTGGGTTTTGTCCGCGTCCCTGGGGCGCGGCCGCCCGGCGTGGGCCGCTGGGCCGGAGCGGCGCGTCAGTCGTCGCCCCTTCCGGGTGCTGGTGTTCCAGGGCCGCCCCGATACAAAACGGGGTGCCTGGCTGTGGGTCCTCGCCCGCGCGCCTGCAGGGACTTACCAGTCCTCCACTGCGGGCGCACGCGAAAGGTTCATTCACAAGGGAAGGGCAGGTGAGGAAACGGACAGCTCTGGGAGAAAAGTGGGAGACAAAGTTTTAAATGCGTCCTCCCCATCCGCCGACCTGGAATCCCAAAGGCGCGCTGAGAGCTGGCCCGGAGCCGGGAGCCGGGGAGCCAGAGGGCGAGCCCCCCAAGGCCCACGTGTTTGGTTTTTATACCAACCTGGCTGCTTAACCCCACCCTCAGGGCCCAGCCACCTTCCCTTTGGTGTTGATGGGATGTGTCTTTCCCAGTGTCCTGATGGCTTTGGTCTGGGGTGGGGGTGGCGTCCACAAAGCCTGCATGGAATTAGCTCAGGACGTCCTTTCCCCCTAACACTGGCACCGCAGGAACGTCCCTGCCCCCGGGATTTATGACAGAGAAATGCTCTGGCAAAGGCCCGGAGCTGGCAGGCCGCTCTGCTGCCCTTCTGACTAGTTAGCCGAGGTCCTGAGCGGAATGGTTGACTTTGTAGTGGCTGGGGGTACCCGAGGGAAAACAGCCCCTCGGCACCCAGGGCGGGAGTCTAGGAGGTCGGTGAGGCCGCCTTATGGGTTCGGAAGACTTAATTGCATAGAAAACCGCTCCCAGTTTGGTGCAGGGCATCCCAAGTCTTCAGTGACGCCACAGATGGAGGGTATAACATACTGTATGTGTCCCAGGGCTTGGTGCGGCCGGTCGTAACTTCTTTGAGGTCTTTTGTTGATACAATGTTTGCATTAAGTTCGCATTAGCCTTCGTCTAAAAAAACTCCCCATATTTTTCATGTAAAATTAACATTCCAGGAGGATGTGTGTCAAGAGCCTAATTTAAATCTAGATTAGAAGAGAGCTGCTAAAATAAATAAAATGCACAATTAAGAATGCTTTTTTTTTTTGCATTCTTAATTGTGTCAGGCAAAATTCTTAAGTGTTTTAAAGGTATAAACTCATTTAGCTTTCAGAACCTCCCTCCACACTATATTCTCATTTTATAGATGAACAAACTGAGGCTTGGGAGATTGCCTTGCCCAAGGCCCAAGGCGTGGAAATCTGACCCCAGAGCTCTGGGATTTAACTGACTAGACTATTTCCTAAAGACCAAGCAATTTAAGTTCTCAATTAACCATCTGTATAGTAAGCACCTAGTTATCATTTATCTTTTGTGTAACATCTTTCTTTCAAAGTGACAATACTTTTCTTTCAACGTGACAATAATGTTCATAACTGAAGGGAAAAATCAATCCTAACCTGAGATCATAATGTTGCTTTATCTTTAAAAGCCTTAAAAATATTCATACCTTTAAACCTAGTAAATGCAATTCTGGGAACCTAGTCTAAGAAAATAATTAAATATATGGGCGGAAATTCCTATCTGTGCAGATGTATGTGTTTGGGTTTATGTCAGATTTAAAAAAGCAAACTCTTTCTGGTCATTAAGATGAATATGAAAGGTTGGAAACAACTAATTATATAAATAGAAGCGTTGGATAAAGTGCCATGTTTTGTGCTAATGAGTGAAATAAATTTTAAAAAGATTTTGCTAATACTAATACAGAGTCTAGGAGAAGTAAAATCTTGTTTAATAACTATTTCCAAGTTCACGTCTATTTGTCAGTTATTGATTCCTAGAATGCCAAGATTCCTCTAAACTAAGTCCAGGGTCTTCATCACTTTGCAGCAGAAGCAGTGTATTCCTGAGGATCAACGATGGACATTAGTAGAATTATAATCTTCTAAACAGGATATACCACAGATGCCACCAAATCTTTTGTTAACCCCTCTAAACCTCCTGGGTCCATGCCTGCCATGTTCCACTTGAAATCACTTTCCTTTGGCTGCATAAGACCTACAAAATTCTAACAACTGGGATGAGAATTAGACTTAGAGAAGTGGGCTAAGGGGAAGTATTCTGTTCAGGGAGGAAGTCTCAGGAAGTATGAGTGTAAACAGAGATTTGAGGGTGGGGAGACTTAGTGCATATCTTCCCCAATTTAGAAAATTTCCAGAAAATGTTTTCTCAGATGTCTCCCCATTTGATTCCATACCATAATGTTTCTAACTATAGAAAGCAGGGGAAGCAGATCCAATAAAGAAAATTCTACACAAGGACCCCAGTGGTAGAAAATCTGCAGGGAGATAATGTGCTTCACCTGGGCAGAAATAAAGGCTAGATATACTGAAGGAACAAGAAATACCTTTAAAAGTAGGTCTCTTAAAAAATGTAGCATATAGTGAAAGATCAGCCCTTTGTTATATTGAGAAAGGTCTATGAATCCAATTTTGTGCTAAGTGTTCTGAAAGATATAGACCTTTTTTTAATATATAGTTTTATTTTTTAATATTTTATTTTATATAATTCTTTTTTTTTTTTAAGATTTATTTATTATTTATACAAGCACTGGGTACAGTCAGAAGCGCGGGAGGGTGAGAGAATTCACCAGAGCCAGAGCGGGGAGCAGAGCAGGCAGAGGGACCGAGGTACACTGCTGAGGGGAGCAGCGGGCGGCAGGAGAGGTCTGAGAGCCATGCGGGACCCTCCTCCGGTGGCCGGGGAGCAGCCGGGGATCGAACCGGCGCTACAGAGGCTTCGGGCAGGTTCGCAACCCAGCGCTCAACCGCTGCGCCACCGGGGAGGCTCTATTTTATATAATTCTTACCTTCTTAAGGAATTTGCAGTCTGCCTGGAAAATCCTGCTCAAAACAGAGAAGCAGTCCTTTTAAAATCATCTTTCATTCAACACGTTTTGACAGGCCACTAAATGGGTGTGCTGTGCTGAGTCCATCCTCATCCGTGTGAAATTGAACAGTACAGATTAATGACATAGAATGAGCTGTGTAGGGGGGAACACTTTCTGTAAGGGGTTGGGCTTGAGCTGGGTCTTGGAGGATCTGGCTGACCAGAGAGGAAGAGCACTGCAGATTGGTGGGGCCAGAAAGACAAGTGAGAAGAGCAGACAGCCAACTGGGGGAGGGTTTGTTCTAAAAGTATAAAAAATAAAGGTCTTTCTATGGAAGTCCTTAAAAATCAACAGAGGGCTGGCCTTCCCTGGTGGTGCAGGCCGTTGAGCGCCGCCATGCTGTGGAGCTGTCGGCGTCCTCTGCAGCGCCGGTTCGATCCCAGCCGGCCAGTGAGGGTCCCACATGGTGCGCAGACCTCTCCTGTCTCGCCTGCTGCTCCCCTCAGCAATGTATTTTGTCAGTTTGCCTGTTCTGTTCCCCGCTATGTCTCTGGTGGGTCCTCTCACCCTCCCGCGCATCTGGCCCATATCCTGGCTCTTGTATAAATAAATAAATAAATCTTTAAAAAAAATAAAATAAACAGAGGTCTTCAGACTTTGGGTGTTCCCCCTTCAAGTTTCCCATGGGGTTTGACCCAAGTGATAAACATTCATGTTTCTATCTCAATTTCGTTATGTGAACATTAGTTCCTGGGAATGGCTGTGAAGAACTGAAATCTCTTCCTTTCTGTGCTCTTGGGGGTCTGCAAAGCACAGCTTCACCTCAGAACTTGGACTGTGACGCCATCTTGAGGCTTTTAAACAGTTGGCCCCTGTATCCTTTACATCAGTATCACTTCCAAGACCAGTGAAAATTCTTTTATACAGAGACTATTTTTTTCAGGTCAAAAAATTAGCAGCCTCCCTATGGTAAGAGTAATCATTAAGGTGATTGGGCCTTTTTTCCCCCCAGATTTTTTTCTCCAATGACTTGTAATACACATTTGATGACTGGAAACCTGTACAACTCCAATAAACATTTTGGTTTAAGAAAGAGATTTTTAGAGACTTTGTTATCTTTGAATGTATTCATTCTTTACTCAGTGATATGAAGAGAAGAGTAATATTTTTTAAAATAAAATAAAACCACCTTCTTTTTTGTTGCCTTTATAGGGGAAAACAGTCTAGAATCTCCTCAGAACGTAACAGTCGACATCATCGATGACAACTTTACCCTGATGTGGAGCAGCCCCAAGTCTGCCAGGAATGTGACTTATTCAGCAGAGTATCAAATGTATGTGGCTCTCTTACTGACCTGCCAGAATAATCTGAACCATTTTTATAAATTTAACACTATGATTTTGTTCAGATTTACTAAATGTTTTTTGTTTTCCATTTTATGTCTACTTTTCATAGTATTTATAACTTCAAATATACAAATAGAGACAAATTCATCTTTGGGCATTGAAGCTAATGAGATTTTGGGATGAGGGTGGTAACAGTGCTAGTCCACACCATACTACCACTGATGGGTGTTCCACCATCTTTACACATAAATTAGGGTCTGAACTAGAGCATACCTTGAGGATATGGGAGGACTCCCCAGGGCCTTTGAATAAATAGTTCAGCATGCACCCTACCTCAGGCTTTCCTAGGAACTCCATCTTACACAATGTTTTAATTTTAGATACAATTTATTAACATCAGTATTGGACCCTGCATGTCCAAGATCAGATGTTTCTGGTGTTTTCTGCCTCCCCTCCAGCGTCCCCTCCCTACTTAAGAGTCACCACAAGGATAGGTGGGCAGAAGGAAGGATTACAGGGAGAAGCGCAGCTCAGGGAGGGTAGGACTGGACTTTGTGTGTTGAGGTCTCAAATGCTAACCATGTTCATGAAGGAAAAGGCAGTGAATTGGGCAGTAAAGAAGCAGGGCGCAGGGCCTCCAGAACGAGGATCCCTGACTATAGCCACAACCCCCCACTATTGTTTTCCAGCTGATTGTTAATAAAACTGTGAGATTCATCTAATCTCATACCTTTAGAAGTTTGCATATTTGTGTACACACACATACATGTCTACACAGATATGGTTTTTCTTAGCACTGAGAAGAATTTTTATCTAGAGAGTTCCAAATGAACATTGAATTTTATTACCAATTGTGATTGTGGCCTTCCTTCAGCATTATCTCCGTAACAGCTGCTTCAGACATAAAAATTATTTCATATATCCTTACTGAGAGTTACCCTTATGAAAAGAACAGTCATATTCTTGTTCCTTCACCTGTTGTATTGCTTACACTAAATTCTGCAATGTATAATAATCTGTCTTTTAAGCTGCCATTCTGCATGTTTAGCATCAAATGCATTATTTCAGTGTGTTCTTACTCTAGTCTGTTCTGCTAGCTTTACAAACAATTGCCTTGTGAAAATATATCACTGTAAGTTTGGGGAGTTGGTGTAGTGTGGTGTGGATCTGAGCCAGGGTGCTTGGGATTTAATCCATCCCTGCCCCTTCTTCTCTCAGGTATAGTTTCCTTATCTACTAATTGGAGACAAAAATTAATATGACATATGTATTTTACTATCCAAACTGGGATGCTTTAGGGAGTGAGCACAGGCTCTTAATTTTAAATAAACAGAAACAAGCTTAAACCAGGACCAGGACACCCAACTCAAAAGGTTGTTGGGGGTCTTTTGAAAATGCTCAGAGTGGCGTGGCCTTAGTGGTCAGCTGAGTGTAGTTAATAGCAGCAGCACACAAGTTTTTGTTTTCAATCACATTTATTACTCTTATCAGAAGTGACTCATATAGCACAGTGGCCTTACACCTTTATTTTTCATGGTTATACAATCCCAGGCAGTTGTTATATGCTCTGCTCTTCTAAGTGGTATTAGTACTATTTAGGGCAAAAGTCCTCACTGACCCAGAAATGACATGAATGGACAAAATTCCAGAATGAGGTGCAGGTGCTGGGGTGATCGAAGATCTGGGCAGGCCACCGCCCCGCCTCGAGGGAGGCCAAAGGGAGGGAGCAAGGGCTCAACATACCCAGGAAAACCAAGTGGCCCCTGTGACACCCTTTATAAAGGTCAGGCTGGCAAACGAGTCTCTGATGATCAAAAGTGAGAATTAAATAGGAGGTGGCAATCCGGTGGGTCCTCTCACTTCCTCTTCTTGGTGGGATACGGTTTTTCTGCAAGTGGAACCGGGACAGTCCCTGCACATTCTGGCTCCTGCGTGAGTGGGGCACCTCACAGTGTTCGGTCTGACCTTGGGTGTGCCTCGGGACAGTGTTCCATCGTGTTCTCGACGTGGTGGTTGGTGCATGGCGATCCACCAAGAAATCCCTCTGCCTTGCCACTGATGGTGGGTACATACCTTTCTGGGGTGGGGCTCGTTCTCCCAGGTGTTCCAAGGTCCTCATTGTCATTCCTGTGTCCTAGCGCAGGCTGTCAAGGTCAAGGCTCTGGATGGAGTCAGCTTCTAGGACACCAGATGGGGACAGGAGGGACAAGCTGCTGCGAAAGCCCAGTTTGTTTTTTTTAAATAGTGTTTCTCAGAACACAGCCGTAGACTGCTGGGGTAAGTGAGAGGAGACTCGTGAATTAGCTCTTAGGATCCCAGTGTCTGTGGAACACGGGTGACCACAGCAGCGCCCGTAGTTATGGCTGGAGCTGTTTCCTAGGCATGTAGGGGTTCTGTTCACTCTTTTCATTCAGCAAACACCTTTGTTGCTTAGAATACATCAGTGACTGGGAGAGACAAAAGATGGCATGGAGTTATATTATGAGCCTGGTTTTAGGAAATGAATTTTTTGTATGAGCAGTTACATACTTGTTCTCAAAGCACATGTATTCTCCTCCAAGAACTGTATGTGGTGACTTTTTGCTTTCTTAAGAAAATATAAAAACAGCTCCCTCTGCTGTTGCTCCCGTACCAGCAGAAGCATTTTTCATAGATGGTTGGTGGCTTCTCCCAGAGCAGGAAAGACTCTAAGAGACGCCTGAGGTCATAGAAAGGGTCAATTGTCACTTTTTATAAGGTTTTCTGTTTGTAGTAAGAGTTCTCCAGGTGAGTGAACCATCAACATGTGCTGGCTTTGTGCCTGTAACTCATTTTATTTTGACCCTGTATCCCCTGATTTAAAGAGGTTTATATACTGTGCCCTCTTCCAGACTTTCTTATGTCACCTGCTTTCTTAAAAATTGTATTTGCTGATAAATACTAATTTGCAGGGGAAAAAAAAAACTATCTGAATTTTTAATTAAAATTTTAAGAATATGAGCTTTAAAAAATTAAATTCTAAAGTGGAAGAGTGTTTAAATTAAGGTAAAGTTTGCTGTATATCTTTGAAGAATGTCACTGAAACTTTGCTAGGGCTTGTACTGAATCTGTCTGTTGCTCTGGGGGGGATGGTTACTTTAACAATGCTAATTCTTCCTGTCCGTGAGCAGGGAATAGCTTTACATTTCTCTTTGTCTTCTACTTCTTTTAACAGTGTCATAGAGCTTTTGTTGTACAGTTTTTGTGCCTCCTTTGTTAAGTTTATAATTAATTTTGGTGCGAATGTGATTGCGATTTTCTTGATTCTATCCTCTTCTAGTTAGCTGTTTCTAGAAAGCCACACAACAGATTCTTGCATGTGGATTTTGTAGCCTGCCACTTCACTGCACCGATTCATTGTTTCTAATAGATTTTTAGTGGAATCTTTAGGGTTTTCTATGTATATTATGTCATCTGCAGGTAGTGAGTTTCACTTTCTCTTTGCCAGTTTGGATTCCTTTTGTATCTTTCTCTTGTCTAATTGCTCTTATTAGGACTTCCAATACCATGTTGAACAGTAGTGGTGAAAATGGACATCCGTGTCCTGTACCTTAGCTTAGAGGAAAAGCTTTCAGTTTTTCACCATTGAATATATATGGTGTTGGCTGTGGCTTGTCATGTGACTTTTACTGTGTTGAGATGTGTTTCTCCTATCCCCATTTTTTGGATAGTTTTTATTTTTTTAAAGATTTATTTATTTATGCACACAAGAGCTGAGGTACAGGCCAGAGATGCGGTGAGTGAGAAGATTCACCAGAAACAGAGTGGGGAACACAGGCAGACTGACTGAAATACACTGCTGAGGGGAGCAGTGGGCAAGACAGGAGAGGTCTGCTGCGCCATGTGGGTAGCTCCCTGGCTGGCCAGGGATCGCACTCGTGCTGCAGAGGCTTCGGATTGCTTCATAGTGCAGTGCTTAACCCCTTGCGACACCAAGGAGGTCCCGAGAGTTTTTAATTATCAATAGATGAGGAATCTTTTCAAGTGTTTTCTGCATCTATTGATAAAACAGTTCTGGAGGTGTCTCAGAAAATTAAAAGTGGATCAACTATATGATCCATTAATTCCATACCTAGGTGTCTACCCAAAGGATGAAGAAACACAAATTCGAAGAGATTATCCACTCCAGTGATCATTGTAATAGTATTTATAATAGCCAAGTTGTGGATACAACCTAAGTGCCCAAAGACACATGAGTGGTTTAAGAAAATGTAGTGTATATGCACAATGGAATACTACTCAGCTATATTTTTAAAAAGAGATAAATCTTGACTTTTTGGACAAAATGGATGGAACTAGAGGGATCATGCTAAGCAAAATAATTCAGGAGAAAGGCAAATATTGGATGATTTCACTCATGTGTAATATAAAGAGACAAAACAAAGGAACAGACAAAACTAAACCAAAGCAAACCCTCAAAATCTGTAGACTAGAGGCCACCAGAGAGCAGGGATCGGGGGGGAAGCACCCACTGGACTCTGCTGGAGGACTTGGATGGTGTGTGTGGTGTGGGACATAACATCTGAAGAGAAGTGAACCTGTACCCCTAATCATATGTAGAGTTGTAAACCAATGTTACCTCAATAAAAAAAGATACATTTTTTTTAAATAATAATAAAGGAAGTCTCCAATGTTATCCCCCACCCACAGGAAAAAAAAAAGATCTAATGCTGCAACTGTGAATTAGGCTTGACGAAAATTCCTTCTCATAGGATAGTTTATCTGCCTGGTTTAAGGTAATGGGTCTTAACAGGCCACTTCCATGAAATCGAGTAAGTCCATTTTCTGCCACTGCCTTCACTTCAGCCGGTTCCTCTGTAACAGCATGTCCTACAGGCTCGCCCTCAGCCTTGACTGTTCGTCTTCTAGAAGAATCTAGTATCACAAATATTTTGAAGAAACCTGACAGTAAAATGACTTTTATCTTTCACTTCTTTCTCTTAACAGGCATTAACCCAGGTAGAAGAAATAGCTACTTTAATTAGCTTTGTAATGTTACTGAACAGAAACGTATTTGCCACACTTTTGTATTTATACATTCTTTTGCTTTTTTTATTTTAAAGGCATGGAATAAATAATTGGTTGGATTTGCCTGGGTGTCAATATGTTACTGGTACCAGATGCAACTTTTCTTCCCTCAAGCCAAATGTCTATGCAGAAATTCATTTGCGTGTAAGAGCAGAAAAAGGAAACAGCACTTCCCCATGGTGTAAAGTGTACTCGTTTGTACCTTTTAAGAAAGGTAGGAAAACGCATTACGGTCTTTATTAAATGTTACCAGATGGGCTTCTTGCCAAAGCCATTCATTTGATGTAATATCACCTGTCTTCGTAAAACAAGAAGAAAGTTTTCCTTAAACCCTTATTTCCTTCCTGTGGAACCCCATTTTTCTGCTGTCCCTAATACCAGTGGTTCTCAAAGTGTGGTCCCTACAACCCTTTTAGGAGATGGTAAAGTCAAAACTATTTTTATTAATTCTAGGACTGACTTGCCTTTTTGTTGTCATTCTGTCATGGGTATGGTGCAGTTTTCCAGAGGCTGCTGTGTGAGGTTGTGACAGAAATGCAGAAGTAGCTGGCGATATATCTGTCTTCTTTATGAAGCCAAACATTAAAGAAATTTGAACAAAATGTGTAATAGCGCCACTCTTCACTAAGTTTTTTGTTTGTGGAAAGGTCATTTTTTTTACAACAAATACCATGTTGTTACCATGTCATAGTTTTTTGGGTTTTTTTAAAGATGTATTTATTTATTTTTAAAGGTTTATTTATTTATTTATTTATTTATGCAAGCACTGGGTACAGTCAGAAGCGCAGGAGGGGTCTGCGCGCCATGTGGGACCCTCGCCCAGCGGCCGGGGATCAAACCGGTGCTGCAGAGGCTGCGGGCAGCTTCACAGCCCAGCGCTCAACCGATGCGCCACCAGAGAGGCCCTCATAGAGTTTTTTAATGAATTCAGAAGTATTCAAATTTTTTATCAGTGTTCATGTTTAATATGCTAAATTTTATTATTTTACCTGTATGTCACAAGTTCCTTGAGACCCTCAATTAGTTTAAGAGCAAGACCAAATATTTTGAGAACCCCTGCTGTATACCAGGATGTAGGGTCAGGTCAGGACACGGAGCAGGTTTTCTGATCCAGCAGAGTGGGTAAAGGAGAAGTCAGAGTCCTAGAGCCCTCAGCAGGTTTTCAGGCTTTTATTGGGGTTCACCAGGCATATGGCAGGCAGAGGTGCTGGGGGGCCGGGAGGATGGCAGGCCTCCCAGCCCCCAGCAAATCCTCACTCTGTCTGGGCTCTCTGGCGTTCTCTCTGCTTCTCTGCTCTTCCGTTCATTCTGTTGCTTCTCTGCTTCTGCTGGCGTCCCCGTGACGCCGCCCTTAAAAGCCCAGTCTCAGCCCAGGTGCATCCCATCTACCTAGGCCCACACCCTACTCCAGGTGCCCGCCATCAGGCCTGCATTCAGGACCGCCAGGATCCATCATCTATCCTGATGGCGGGAAGGCAGAAAAGCCTGACGTTTTTCCTTACCCTACACAGGACATGGAAGAATTGTCTGTACCCCCTTTCTCTGCTCCTCCCTCCACTCTCTTCAGCCTCGCTTCCTTCCTCACAGCAATGCCAAGTTCAGTCCCAGTGCTCTGCTGACTCTGGGCCTCTGTGGCATCTATCTGATCACCACTGCCTGTGCGCGAAGTGTTTTTAGGGCACTGCACCTCTGCTCACCTGTCTCTCTCGACCCAACTGGCTGCTTTCCCCTTGTCTCCCAAGCCTGCCAGTGCTGCAGCGCTGTGGGGCTCAGGCACTGGGACTCCTCTGTCCCCTCTCATTCGTGACCTGACCACTTTCAGCACCAGCAGTCACCCCATGACCCCAAGGCAGCACCCTCACATCTTTTTGCACCGTTAGACTTGCATGGCCAGCTGCAGCCAGCACTCCGCTTCATGTCTCACAGTCAGCTCACGTTTACCCCAGCCATGTAAACGAAGCTCCTGATTTCCCCCTCAAAACCTTCTCTTCTTGCAGATTTTTTCCATCTCCATTAATGACATCACCTGTTTTTGCTCAGGCCAAAAGCCTCGCTCCGTGGCCATCTCCTCCTCACAGCCCACGTGCACCCAGTCAGTCCATCAGCAAATTCCTAATGAGCTGCTTTAAAGTATGTCCTGAACCCTCACCCACCCCCACCCATCACCCTGCATTTCCAGAATGTAGGTCAGGTCAGGACACTCATCTCAGCCCCCAGAACTCCACAGCCTCTACTCGAGAGAGATTCTTCTTAAGAGTCTGTTCTCATTTCCATCCACTTAGCCCCTTGTGTCTTGGTCATGCCTGTTCCTTCTTAGGGCCCAGATGTGATGCACCCTCAGCCTGGCATGCTCATCCCTAGACACCTGTATGACTCACTCCCTCCTTGATTTGGGAGTCAGCTGCTATGTCTCAGAGAGGCTTTTCCTGACAAACTTCTCTACAGAGGCCTTGGCTGCCATTCTCTGTGCCTTAATGTGTCTGTCTTTTTCCTCATAGCACACGTAACATTATGTTCCTGTGCTCACTTGGGACTTTTTGCCATTTCTCACCCTAAAATGCAAACTCCCTGAGCAACTTTCTCTGTTGCACGACATCAGCATTATTTGTTGAGTGACTGTTTTGGCATTGTGTTAATGAAGTGTTTTGATGTTCACAGCTCAGATTGGTCCTCCAAAGGTACATTTAAAAGCTGAAGATAAAGCAATAATAATAAACATCTTTCCTCCTGGAACAAAAAAAAGTATCATGTGGGCTACGGATAGTAACAGGTTTATATACCACTTGGTCATCTGGAAAAACTCTTCAAGTATGGAAGTAAGCATTATTCTTACCTTTGAGGTGGGAGAAAAATGTGGATTGATTTAAAAATTACTTCTAAAATTTGACTTTATGCTTTGTGAAATAACAGACTTCTAATTTTTTGTTATAGGAAAGGACTCAAACTGTTAATTCTGAAGATAAAATTTATAAACTCTCACCAGAGACTACTTATTGCTTAAAAGTCAGAGCACACTATAAATTTGGTCCACGGAGCAAAATTGGTTTATATAGTCCAGTATATTGTATAAATACCACAGGTAAGGAGGAAATTTTGCTTTAGATTCCATAACTAATCTGTATATATACAGGTTGGCAATTTATTTATTTTGGCATTTTTTCCATAGTTTCTGAAGTCACAGGATGGTTTAATAGTTATTAAGGCTAAAGTATTATAACCATAAGAAGAAATGTTACTTGGAAACATTTTACTCTAAAGTAAAAAAAAACTCTGCTTATAAGTCAGAGTATTTTCTGATGACAAAATAAACTTCATTGGTTCAGAATCCCCCAAAAGGGGAGGTAGTTGCTAGAATGGTCTTCTAAAAAGCTGTATGCCTTCAAAAGTGAAATGTTAAAATCTGAAGTATTTACTTAGCTAACAATTAAGGTTGAAAGGTAGGGATTAAATTATTTTAATTATGAACTTCATTTGCTTTATTTTTAAAATCAAACAATGCAGAAATATTTAAATGTTCAAGCTTTCCTGTCCGGCCTCCTCACCCTCAGTTCCATTTACCAGAGACAGACATTGCTGTCTGTATATGTCCTTCCATACTCTTTTCTGAACGTCTGTAAGCATTTAGACACAGACACAGTTTGGGAAAGTTATTTTTTAAATAGATATATTTTACGACTTCCTTATTGAATTGCATGTTTTGAGAATCTCTTTATGTCTCAGTACATATAGATCTATTCTTTTAAATGGCTGCACATCACACTGTGCGTATGCAGGGTACCATAGCTACTACCTCATAGTGATAAAACATTATCCCTTCCTTTTCTTGCCCTTGCTGTCAAAAATTCTTACAAATACATTTTCTCACTAGAATAAAACTGTATGCTTGTTCCTATATTCTTTGTCTTCCAGTTGAAAATAAACTGCCTCCACCAGAAAATCTAAGAATCGAGGCTAAAAATCACAGCTATGTTCTTAAGTGGGATTACCTGTATGAAGGCATGACCTTTCAAGCTCAGTGGCTTTTGTAAGTGCTGGTCCATAAATTTCCTTTTGCCCAGTTTATTTTCACCAGTTTATTCTGCTGTTTTTTCCTCTTCTTTGCACTTGCAGCTCCTTGAATGCTGATTGAAAGGTGGTTGTGATTTATGGGAAACAAGATCTTTAATTCTAGCCCCAGCTCAGCCAGTAACTAACTGGATGACTTGGCATTAAATCACTTAACCTCTTTTGGCCTCAGCTTCTTCATTTGTAGAAGAAAGTTGTAAAATGTTGTAAAGAGTGTGTTCTAATAATGTCTAGTGTTCTTCCTCTCGTTAAAAAAGGTGTGATTCTAGCTATGTCTGTTAACTCCCCGATCTGGAGTGCTTGACCTCGGATCCTGGTCTTCAGAACTCACTTCTTCCACAATTCCTTGAAATGATCTCAGTCCAGCCTCTCTGACTTGTTCTATTCAAGTAAACCTCTCCATTTTCTTTATCATTTCAGTGGCTGTGACAGATTTTTTTAGTAATTACTCTAGTGGGAAGTTAAGAAAGAAAAGTGTGTTTTATGTGGCTGGGTCAGTATTAGCTAAATACAGATGACGTATATGAAAGTGGGGGCGAACTGCAGTAGATTGTGTTGTCTGGGAAGGATAAACAGGGGGATGGGCAGAGGAAAATCAAGTGAAAGGAGAAGTGGATTCTGGGGAGGAAGGGGTGGGAAAGAAAGATAACAGGGAGCTCAGAGGATTAGAAGGACAAAGCCAAGTATAGGTAAAGCAGAAATGGAGTGAGAAGAGGGCCTCCCCTGGTGGCACAGGCAGTTGAGCACCGTGCTGTGAAGCTGTCCACAGCCTCTACAGCACTGGTTCGATCCCCGGCCTACAGTGAGGGTCCTAAATGGCGTGCAGACCTCTCCTGACATGCCCGCTACTCCCCGCAGCAGTGTATTTCGTCAGTCTGCCTGTTCTGTTCTACGCTCTGTCATCTTGCCTGTTCTTGTATAAATAAATAAATAAATCTTTAAAAAAAAAAGAAAAGAAATGGAGTGAGAAGAAAGGCTGGGAAGAAACAGGGAAAATGAGGATAAAGGGAAGTCAGTATAGATATGATCTCAATTTCTTTCAATTCTTTAGGGTTAGTGTTGAACCAAGACCAGTTTGTAAGGGAAGCCTTTCACATGCCTGTGTATGCATGGCATACACACAGACATACACACGTAGGTACATATACATACCACGGACTGACAAGCAAGCTGCACCATAGTCTCTGAGTATTTCAGAAGTATGTGAAATTATAGGGCCACAGAATAGAGGGCTAAGGGTTTCTGATGGTCTCCTCAAGTTTCTTTGGGGTACTTGGTATACTGCAGAGCACTGAAGGAATTACAAAGATACAGCAGAAGAAAATGTGCTGCTAGGGCCTCCCCGGTGGCACAGCGGTTAAGCACTGGGTTGCGAAGCTGCCCGCAGCCTCTGCAGTGCCGGTTCGATCCCCGGCCACGGGGGGAGGGTCCCACATGGCACGCAGACCTCTCCTGCCGCCTGCTGCTCCCCTCAGCAGTGTACCTTGGTCCTTCTGCCTGTTCTGCTCCCTGCTCTGGCTCTGGTGAATTCTCTCACCCTCCCACACTTCTGACTGTACCCAGTGTTTGTATAAATAAAATAAATAAATCTTTTAAAAAAAAAATGGTCGAATTATCAATATAAAAAAAAAAATGTGCTGCTGACACTGCACAGCAAAGTGTGATTTAGGACTGAGGAGCGATATACAAATGAGACCTACTGAAAACTGAGGGTATGGACGTGGAAGGGGCTGGAGAGGCCAAAGAAGTCATTTGGGAGGCTTGAAGACCTGACCAGGGTGCCTTGATGTCAGGTCAGATGTTTTACACTTGGTACCCTCAGCGCAGGCTATGAAGAGACAATAGACATAAGCAGCCTTGAGCACAGATAGTAAAAATGTAGTAAAATAATGAGGACAAGATGAGTTTGGTGTATTTGTTACCTTTTTAACACAGTGTTTTGATTTGTAAGTCTATATAATTTCATTTTTGCTGATGCCTGTGTTTAACGACTGGCTTGCAGCTGTCCTGTGTGCTGCTAAGTGTGCCTGGCATGCCGCACCTCACCACACCTGGAGTAGGAGCTCATAGAGGTTTTCCTCTATGAGCATCCACATGTGTTCACTCTATTGCAAAATTCTCGAGGGCAGGAACCATTAGCCTCTGACACCTCAGCACCATACAGAATGGCTAGCATTCATAGATCTTGATAAATATATATGGGATGAATGTATTTGGAATAAAACAATGTTTTTGTCTTCAAAGTGCCTACTTAAAAAGGTTTCGTGGGAGCCTTTCAGATAAATGGAGACAAATACCGGCCTGTGAAAATGTCAGAACAACCCAGTGCGTCTTTTCTCAACATGGTTTCCCAGAAGGAATGTACTTTGTCCGTGTGCAAGCATCTGATGGAAATAATACATCTTTTTGGTCTGAAGAGAAGCAATTTGATACTGAAATACAAAGTAAGCCCAGAGTGTTTACTTAAGATTGTAACCCTCCATCTGGTGCAGGCTAAGACTGTTTTTCTGGTCTCAACTGAACACACTTCTTTACGCCTCTTCCAGTTGTCATCTTCCCTCCGGTCATCACCCTGAAGCCCATCAGCAAGGATTCTCTGCAGGTCTATATCAGCGCCCCAAAAGATTCAGAAAACAGGCCAGTGGACCAGTATTACACCTTCATTTATGAAATTGTCTTCTGGGAAAATACTTCAGATGCTAAGGTAAGAAGACTAAGTGTTACAATTTTGTAACTTAGAGTTAGAACGATGATTTGGGTGTAAGCAAAGCTTGATGTCAAAATTCTAGGGAGATTTTTCAATTTTCTAACTCTATGATCAGCTTAGATGTACACAAGGGGAGAACGGGAGCAATTCTCCAGTTACAAGTCACCTCCATGTGCGCCCCAGTTTGCTTTTTAAATTCAGCTCCCTGAGTCCATTCCTCCTCACTCAGAATCTCTGGGAGTGGAACTCAGAATTTGCATTTTTAGTAGGAGCCCCAGATTTTCCTCTAAACCAGGGTTTCTCGGCACCGTTGACATTTGAATGGACTGGTTCTTGGTTGTGACTACTGTGTGACTAATGTGTGACAGATGCCCAGCGACATCTCTGCCCACTGGGTGCCAGCCTCCCAGTTACACCCACCAATGAAAGCTCCAGATGGTGCCAGCTCTCCCCAGGTGGGGGGCGAGAACAGGGCCATGGGGACAAAAACTGACTCTTAGTAGGTAAAATAGTCTTAGAGACGTCAGTGGTTTGTCTTTGCCCCCAGGAGGAGAGCATGCCTCCAGATTTCAGCTCAGCCCAACAGAATCTTATTCCTCAGTATTTAACTTCATGCTGGCAGAGGGATTAGAGAAAAATTGTTTAAAGAGACAGTTTAGGGCCTCCCTGGTGGCGCAAGGGGTTAAGTCTCAGAACTACCAAGCTGTCACCAGCCACTGTAGCACAAGTTTGATCTCCGGCCAGGGAGCTACCCACATGGCGCAGCAGACCTCTCCTGTCTCCCTGTGGATCAGTCTGTTCTGCTCTCTGCTTTGTCTCTGGTGAATCCTCTTATCCCCCATACTTCTGGCCTATACCCCAGTTCTAGCATGCATAAATAAACAATAAACAGACAAGTCCACAACATCAGACATTCCATATTATTCCTGATAACTTTTCCCTCATGAAATTAAAGTCGAGGGATCAACCTTCAAAAATCATGCACAGTTGAGCTGGTAAATTCTCTGACTTCATTTTCTTTTGGAAGACTAAGAAAATTGCAATGACTTGGCTACTTTCATTTGAACTGTCTGAACACTGTAACCAGAATGTAAAGTACCACGTACCACAGCCAGTTCTCTGTTACCCCTCAGTGAGGGGCAAGTTTGTGTCTCAGGCTACCAAATTGTGCAGTCTTAGGCAAGGCACTTTGCCTCAGTGAGATTTTATTTCCTCTTCATGGAAACTAAAATTTTTTAAAGGATGATTGTAAGGCTTAAAATGAGGGAATGTATATGAAAATACCTAGCACATCTCTTGACAAACAAAACCAATTCAGTAACTCCTAGTTACCATCCTGGCCTGCGCTGATTTACTGGGCCTGCTGTGTAGCAGGCCCTGTGCTGAGTATTTCACACGGCTTGTCTCAGTCTTTCTTCAGAACAGCCCTGCCAGACAGCAGGGTCTGGGCTATAACTGTGAGCTTGACGTGAGCAGAGGCCTTAAAAACGCACGTGTGTGGTTTTGCCTGGCTCCTGCGCTGCTCCTGATTGCCAGAAAGGATGCATGCTCGGCATGGCCTCTGCTCCAAGGATGAGAGACTATGGGGCACCTAACCCTGACCCTCAGCCTCAGGGAGCTAGCACCCCAGCCAGTCTGTCCTGAGTGGGGAAACATAAACAGCACACAACATTACATGAAGCTACTTTGTTGTGGTTATTTTGTAATGTCTTATTGCATCACACTTACACAGACAGGAGTAATAATTCTCCTTTTGCGGCCCTGAAATAGGACCCTGAGAAGTTAAATAACTTGCCTAAGGCCACGTGCTGTGAGCAGTTCCTTAATGGAGGCAGTTAGCAGCCCGAACCCCAAATCTTAACATTTCGGCCTCTCAGCAGAGGTGATACAGTGGCCCTTAAACAAGCCGGCTTGTAGTCAATGATGAATTAGCGTTGTCCTGGGGGTACACGTGCTTTCTGGGCAGTGACATTTTTAACTTTCTGATGTGTTTATAGCGTCTTGTCCAGAACAGGCTGATACTCCTTAAATGTGATACCAGTGAAGTATTTGGTAGAGGCCGGTCATAGGTTAAGTATTTGAAAAATTCAGAAAATAGATAATCCCTCTCTGATTTCATGAAGCGACTACATTTTATCAATAATTTACTTACTCTTTTTATAGAGCACACTCCTGAAGAAAGCTGATTTTACTATCCCGAACTTGAAAGCGCTGACCGTATATTGTGTCAAAGCCAGAGTCCTCGTGGAAGAGGAGAACAGAACCAGCGTCTTCAGTGGTACTATGTGTGAGAAAACGATGCCAGGTCAGACTCTTTCACTGTGCCTTTCTTTTTAATGTAACTAGACAATCACAATAGTTTGATTCATTGAAAATTGTACACTGTTTTCATAATTCCCTTTAATATTACTCTATCTTTTCATGAGACTATCTTTAATTTTTTTACATAACCCTTGATTATGTAAATCAATTTTACCTAATCACATAGGTCAATATAGAATTTTTTTTTTTAAAGATTTATTTATTTATACAAGCACTAGGTACAGTCAGAAGCGCGGGAGGGTGAAAGGATTCACCAGAGCCAGAGCAGGGAGCAGAACAGGCAGACGAACAAAGTACACTGCTGAGGGGAGCAGCGGGCGGCAGGAGAGGCTGCGGGCAGCTTCGCAACCCAGCCCTCAACTGCTGCGCCACCGGGGAGGCCTCTCAATATAGAATTTTATTATGTGGGAACAGTTCCGCCTGGTTCTGTATTCTGCAGTTCCCAGTGTCTAGTCACAGAAGGTGTCTTAATCGTACTAGTTGTTTGCTGGAGAAGTGCTGGAGACTGTCCTTCACTCAGAATCTCCTGTTTTCGCTTCCTAAATCACTCTTTAAATGGAAATGCTGTCGCTACAACTGTGGTGTGCTCGGGGCCACCAGAAATGCTTCTAACGGTGTTGCTGTTTAATAGATCTGGTGTTTCCTTCCTCCTTGAAGGCTTGTCTTTTACACTTGTCATGAGAGCTGACCTGTGAAGCCATCTTTCATGGTTAGCATATTTGTATGTTAAAACACATATTGACTCTGACCATCATTTACCTGGTTTTAGGAAATACTTCCAAAATCAGAATGATAGTTGGAATTTGCACCACATTACTTTGTATCCCAATTGTCATCTGCTTCGTGATAGTCCTTTTGAAATGTATCAAGTATGTGTTCTTCCCATCAAGTAAACCTCCGTCTGCTATAAATGAGGTATGTTGCTTTTGTCAGTATTTGGACTTTTCTTTAAATGAATGGGAAATGTTTCATTTCAATTGAACATATATATGTTTTCTTGATCTTCAGCAAATGGAATGATTTGGGTATTTAAAGTTTTAGTAAACTTTAGAAATAGTCATTAATATAACTAGATAAAGGATAAACATTTTTAAGCAAAAATATGTTATGAAATGCCAAAAATTATTCTGGAATTTGGCACACCAGACCATCACAATTCTATGAGTAGACAGGACTAAGATTAGAGATAGAGATGATATAAAATAGTTTTTCTTCATTTTTACAAATATATCTGTACTGATTGCATTTAATTGATTTTTTAAAAGAAAAAAGTCATTAAATAAAATAATATAATAAAATAGTAAGAATTAGACTTAACCTCGTAGTCTTCTGGAAGTTTAACTGGCATTTGTTTTACCATTTAAAAAGAGTGAACACCGTCAGTGCAGAAAGTATATTCTGCGGAGGAGATCACATGAATTTCCTCACAGGGTTTTGTTTGGCCTCCCAAGAAATTGGCATGTTTGATGAAAGCACTAAATGATGACATGGTAGCAAAGACTGGCGGGGGAGGGGGGCTCCCCTCAGGCGGGCTTCTAGTCTCTCTCAGAGGCAGAGTAGTCAAGAGCTCAGGCTTTGGAACTAGCCTGACTTAAGGTGAATTGTTGGAGCCATAATACTTCCCCGCAGAACTGACAGAAACGAAGGAGTTAACCCAGAAAGAGTCAGCGTCCTGTCAGCCCTGTGAATATTAACAAGCTTACTGTTCTGTCCTGAGTTTTTAAATAACCACTCCTGCAGACACTAATGTTCATAGCTATTATTTAAAGTACTTAAAAAGAGCTGATGACAGCAAATAATCATTCTTACTTGAACAGGGAAAATTACCACTTGTGCTTCTTCGGGATATTTGTGGGTTCGATATAGAAATTATTAGTTCAAAGTGTAATTTTCATAAACTCAGTGCTCTTCCCTTCTCCCCATGCTCCCCACAGCCCCTGGCAGCTAAGTGCCCCTTTCTTAGGTCCTCTTCATATGGATCCTAAAAAGGATTCTAAGATGGGGCCTCGTGGGCATGATTTTACGCTAAACATTATCATGCAGTTGATATGTTCTTAGTTTACTTTTAATGAGCATACCAAAAGATAGGTTTTCTAGATAATGGACATAGGAAACTAAAGCTTTAGAAGGAAAACTAGTTTTTATGATTTTAAATAATTCATTTTTTATTCTTTCCCTTATTTAAACTAGTATTTGTCTGAACAACCCTTGATGAATCTACTCCTTTTCACTTCGGACGAACAAACTGAGAGATGTTTTATCATTGAAAATTCAAACACTGTCACTCCATTAGAAGAAAATAATCAAAGTAATGAAGGTTACAAACAGTACAGTTCCCAAACTAGTGAGGATTCTGGAAACTATTCTAATGAAGATGAAAATAATGACAGTAAAACAAGTGACGAATTTCCACAACAGGAAGCCCTGTGGCCAGCAGTGAACTCGAAGGTGCTGGGGAGTCTGGGGGAGATCCATATGGACCCTGAGTTCCCTGCTCCACTCAGTAACTGCTAAGAGGAGATTTGCTGGTGGGAGAAGAAAACATCTTCAGCTTATAGATGCTGGAAATACAGGCAAGCACTTAACCATTTGCTGATAAAGTTACAGGAATTTGGGCAAAAAGTTTATTTTCCTGTGTTCTGGAAGAAAGGCTTGTCATGAGTCCTGTCTCTGATGAGTTAAATCCAGATGATGCCATCCTTTTTTCTAATGCCAGCTTTTAGATACATTATATTACCTGTATTACAGCAACAATGACATATACAAAGCATTGTATATGATTTGGGCAGAAGGCACACACAGTCGTGTGTCCGCACAGCCCACCCCTCCGGCTGAGGTCACCGGAGCGCCCTGTGCCGTTCTGTGGCAAGGGCCACGCTTGTGCTTCTCGGCCGGTTACGGCCCTGCTGGCCACGGCAGCTGGCATCCAGCCGCCTCATCCCCAGTATTGAGGTTCATTATTCTTCAGGAGGCATTTAGAACATTTCGTCTGTTCTTTTGACATTGACATAGGCCCTTAAAAAATTTCTTTAGAAAAGCCTGATAAGTACTAACACCTGATTTTCTGGAAAATAGCTTTCTCAAGAAGATAGCACAGATGCCAGAAATGTGACCCTTAAAAACTTGCAGGGGCATTATCCATTTATCCCAAGAACACTGACGCCTGTGCCCCAGCTGCCTGTCCTGTCCAGATTGGGAATAAAGCCAGGTCACCTTTTACTGCGTGGGAAGCCATCCTGATGCAGAACGTTAGGACGGAAGCTTCTTATCAGGCGCTCAGGTTATGGGGAAATGAGTAACGCCCTCGTTGAAGAAGTTACTGGTATGTTTAAAACAGGGATGGCGATGTCAAGGTTAGTCACAGGGTATAGGACCGGCAAACGGGGCTGAAATAACAGACAGAGGAAGAACTGGAATAACAGAATAGGGAAAAGTAGACGACCTTCAGGAAACTGGGACTATGAAGACTCAGGCGCTGACACACGAAGGGGGTACTTATTTTTATGGCTTATCTCCGTCGTTTTTAATACCAGGCCAGTTTCTCTGTCTAGAAGTATCCAGGTCCCCCTTCTACACAGCCAGCATGGGCTCAAGAAAATGCACATTATTTATTGTCATGGTAAGGGACACATTAACTAGGAAGGAAAATCTCATTTTAAAAATTAGATAATGTTCTCCAAAGGCACCCATAGCTTATTTTTAAACTACTTAATATTTGCGGTGTTCGTGGCTAGCCTTAATAGGAAGGGAGAGTAGGTATTTTGGTGGCTTCTCAGGCAAAAATCTCAACTTCATTCAGTCGTCGCTGCCAGATGGGGGAAAACGGAACGAAGCTGCGCCGAGCGTGCTGGGAGGCCTCCTTCCCGTCACCTTCATCTCTGCCGAGGTGACAGGTTCCTCTGGTGGAAGAGAAGGTTGAAAGCCACTGACTGGGGAGGGCAGGGACCCTCCGCACAGACGCAGCTCTGCAGAGCAGGCCAAGCACTTTCCGCTGCCTGAGTCCAAGCTTCTAGACCAGCGTAGCGGGGGCCAGGGAGCCCCAGAGCCCTGTGAGAATCCCGACAGTGACCCGCCTCTGACCAGAGACGCCTGATTTGAAGCAGACTGCTGGGGGGCCCCACGTGCAGAGGCCCTCTGCGAAGTGTGACTCCTTCAGGGGAGACCAGAGGCGGCCCTGCCACTGCCGCCCCTCACACCGTGCAGCCCGGCAGCCTGTCCAGCACTTGAGCCCGAGACTCACCTCCGGAGACAAGAGGCCTCACACTGGACCTGAACCGAAACAGTCCTTCTGTGGGCTATAGACGACGGAGCCCAGACGCTGAAGCTGGAATGCACCAAAGAAATGGGCAGGTCCCCGTGGTGTGGGGGTGTCAGGTCTTACAACCCTCTGGTTTTTGATTAGTAAGCACCTGAGCAGCAGCAAACCAGCCAACTCCTCATTTTTCCTTGTCTTCTGGCCGTGAAAAGGCAGTTCCACCCCTGCCTGCATCCTGGTCCACACGGAGCGTCTTTGGGCTGCACCTGCATGGAAGGTAGCAGGTGTCTTTCTGACTAGTTTACTTAGAAATGCCTCCAAATTAAAATATTTACAGAAACCTGTAGACTCTAAGAATGTATGTGAAAGGCGCATATCTTTGGAGCCAGACCATGCTGGTTAATGCACATGGAAGTCCCAATAGGGACCCAAACACACCTGCACACTCACCTCCTCTCGTGCACACACTGCAGTGGGGTGGGGGGCTGACACCTTTTTCTAATTAGAAACGCTGCTTGGATCTCAGAGCTGGAAAGTCCCAGAAATCCCCAGGGTACACGCTCAGCATTTAGATCTTTTCTGCAAGAAAAGGTTGCTTGTAAGAGTTGGGAGCCTGTGCGGCTACTGTCTTCCTCCAGGGGGCCCTGTGCCCCCAACCTGCCAGGTATTTGTTTTGCCTGGTGTCTGTCCCCCTCGAGCACAGGGACACCCCTCGTCACTGTTGCCCCAGCAGCCACAGCTGCGCCACACCTTGCACACAGGTGTGCAGAAGATAACTCGGGTGGCAAAACCTAGAATTTGAACCAAACAGTGTTTCTCACAATGTTTGTGTGTTTTGTTGTATTTTTATGGAAGGATATAACCATGTGTTTGATGGTTTTATACAAAAAAAAACTTTTGTATCGTTTATTTCATGTATACTTTTGGTTTAGATGGTTTTTAATACAAAAAAATTTGTATCTTTTATTTTGTGTATATTTTTGTTTTAAGCTGTCACTGTAAATTTTAGATAACAAACTAGACCTAAAAGTCTTTGATTTCTATTGTATTAGCCACGTTTATGCACCAGAGTTGCTGCCGCTGATGCCTTCAAAGGGTGTTGGTGAACGGGGCGTGGGGGGGCCTGCGGCCTGGCCCAGTGCCTAGTGTTGAGGATCCCAGCCCCCACCCCGCTAAGAGACAAGCAGCTCCTGGGCTTGCGCGGCTGTTCCACAGCCTCAGCCGAAAACTTGGCTTCGGCACAGCCGCCACTGAGTCTGCGATGGTGCGTCCCCCGCGTCCCGCGCTCAGCTGCTTTCACAGCACGAGTCTCGGGATAAGCTCTTCCTGAGGACACGCCTCAGTCCCATGTGTGGAGGAGCCGCCCCTGCCTCTACACACACTGGACCTTGAAGGGGGACACACATTGTAGCATTGTCCCCCCAAAAGGGTCAGGTGGGCTTTTGTAGCAGCGGGAGGGGCGTGGAGCAGGTGTCCTAGGACCCCGCGCAGGCGGCTGCAGGCGCGTCCCGGAGCCCTGGGCGGCTTCTCAGGCTTTCACTGCGCGCCTGCCAGGTACCGGGCGGGCCGGGCTGCCGGGGGGCCGGGCTCCCCGGCGTGCTCTCGTGGTCTCCTCTCTCTTCTGTTTCTCTTTCTGCTCGTTCCGTCCTCTCGCTCGCCCTCGTCTCGTAGTTCTCCTCCACGCTGGCCAGCCAGTCTCAGCCAGGTGGACCCACCACGCGCCCACCCCTACTCCAGCTGTCGGGCGTGCATTTAATCGAATGGCAGGAGGGCGGACAAGCCTGATACTTTACTCACCCTGCAGCTTTTCTCGGGGCCCAGAGTCGGGCTCCGTTGGCACCTCCATGTGGGAACAGGTCCTTGAGGCGCGCGGGCCTCAGAGCGAGTTCACGGTACAGAAGGGGTGCGGGTGACTAAGTGAAGCACCGGGAAGGCCCTGGAGACGGCAGTTGTGTCCCTGGCTCAGGCCTTTGCCCCTTTTCTAGTCCCAGTCGAACATTGAGTGCCCCATCGCCCTTTATGTGACGTCGAAGGATGCAGTTTGAGGGGTGTCGTCCAGCTACCTCTGGATTTGTCTGAGAATCTCTTCTTACTCTCAGAGTGAACGTGGAGCCGCTCCCCTCCTGCTGTCCCGGGAAGTCTCCCCCTCCCCGATGCACCGCACCCTCGAGCGCAGGGCTGTGCTCTAGTTCACGCTGGCCCTGGCGACGGGCAGTTCTCCATGTGCACACGATTAAATGGATTTTTTCCTTTGCTTACCCATTTGATCCTGTTTTGATGACTCTTCCCAAGAATCCAGAGGGGTGGGGGATTACCCCCTGCACCCCAACAACATTCAGCCTGGGAACCTTTCTATGTTTGTGTTTTTACTGAGTCCTCAATTTTTTTTCAAAATGGGCAAGAAAGTTGTAGAGGCCAGGAGTGGCCACTGAGCAGGTTTTCTAGGATCCCATGCAGACCGGGTAAAGGAGGAGTTCTGGAGCCCTCAGGGGTTTTGCAGGTTTTTTATTGGGGTTCACCAGGCATACGGCAGGCAGGGGTGCTGGGGTGCGGGGAGGCTGGCAGTCCCCCCAACCCCCAGCAAATCCTCACTCTATCTGGGCTCTCCGGTGATCTCTGCTTCTGTTTCTCTGCTTTTCTCTGCTTCTGTTTCTCGGCTTCTCTTTCGGCTTCTCCTAGCGTCCCTGTGACGCCGCCCTTAAAAGCCCAGTCTCAGCCCAGGTGAATCCCATCCACCTCTGCCCATACCCTACTCCAGGTGCCCGCCATCAGGCATGCATTCAGGACCACAAGGATCCATCATCTATCCTGATGGCGGGAGGGCAGAAAAGGCTGACATTTTTCCTTACCCTACAAAAGTGAATAACTCATCTCTGATCCCCAGAAACTGTGAGACCGCCCAGCTGCCGCGACAAATGTCACTCACATCCAGGCTTTCCTCACTACCTTTTCCCTTTGGCTGTCTTTTCATTTTGGGTTCAGTAATCACAGGATTACTTAACAGGATTACTTGTGGGCCATATACGTAAAGGCAGGTATTTGTGGTGGATGTTTCTAGCTCTCCAAGGGTAAATTAGGCAGGAAGCAAGGGTTACGTATGTCTTTCCTGTGAAGGATATGCCGGTTTCCTGCCCTTCCTGCCTCTGTCCCCCCTGGAACTCACGTTCTAGCAGAGGACACTTGTGGATGGAGGAGTAACTGATGAGGGCAAAGCAAAGGAAGAGTAGGCAGAGTAGATGTTACAAGGGAAAAAGGCCTTGGGGAAGAAGAAGTAAATAAAAAATATTAGACCTCAATGGCTGCCTGAATTAAACACACCACTCATCCCCTTGTTTTAAATGGCGTGGGCCCACCAGAAGTTACCAAGGGGAGAGTGAGCAAAGGAAAAAGAAAACATTTTCCCATCTCTTCAGAAGAATGTCCATTTTTGCAAAAGATTGGAATTAGTCCTTAAATATATAACATAACTTAGTGCCTATTTGTATAAGTGTCTCTATAGTCTATTCACAAACTTCATAATGCTTCGCTGCACTGGAATTTTCCTTAGAGAGGTGATTGTGAGTTCTAGAGAGTAAGGATACATCCTCCACTCTGGAATCTTCCTAAAAGACCTCCACCACTACCCACGTCCAGGCTGTCTCGGCGCCCATCTGTACCTGCACGTTTGTCTGGCACACTCCAACATACCCTTCTTCTAAATGGCAAGTTCCAGGGAAGCAAGGTCTCTTCACCACTGTAGCTGACACTGTGTTTAAGGTAAGTGATCAAGTGGGACATGGAAGGTACAAACATTGACTGGATCTACCGCTAGGGGGCGCAGTCACTCAGTTTAGGTTCCCAACTGGTTGTGTTTTAGAAATAATAAATGGCTGTGTCCGGAGAAAATATGAAGGCAGCGTGTGAAGCGTGTGACTGAAGATTACATATCCTTACAGTTGTTAGATTTAGCAAATGAAAATACAGGACACCCACCCAGTTCAAAGTGAATTAAATTTTAAATTCAGGTAAACTGAATAATTTTTATTTATTTTTTAAAGATTTATTTATGCATACAAGAGCTGGGGTACAGGCCAGAGATGTGGGGAGGGGGTGAGAGGATCCACCAGAGACAGAGTGGGGAACAGAACAGGCAGACTGACTGAAATACACTGCTGAGGGGAGCAGTGGGCGAGACAGGAGAGGTCCGCTGCGCCATGTGGGTAGCTCCCTGGCCAGCCAGGCATCGAGCTCGTGCTGCAGAGGCTGCGGATTGCTTCATAGTGTGGTACTTAACCCCTTGCGCCACCAGGGAGGCCCTAAACTGAATAATTTTTAAGTATGTCCAAAAGATTGCATGGAATATACTTAGACTAAACATTTTTTTATTGTATAATGCTTCGAAGACTCTGATATTTTACTAAGAGGTGATTATGTGATTTTTTTTTTAGTATACAAGTATATTGTTCCCTCTTTGGAATCTAGCTGGTATGTTTTACCACATAAACACATCCCAGTGCCCCATCTGTAATTTCAAACAGTTTATGTCCCATGCAATATTGAGGACATACTTAAAATATTCATTTATTTGAAAATCACATGTAACTGAATGTCCTGCACTTGATCTGGCTACCCTAGTAATGTGGTACTAGTTAGGGCCCCCGTGTCCGTCCCTATAGCTCGGTGATTTCATGCTGGTCTGTTTTTCCAGGGTCCCTTTCCTGTGCGGGGGGTGGAGCTCATGGGCCCTTGATCTCCCCTCAAAGGATGCCTGGGCGGGAGAGTAGCTGCTCCAGATGTACAGGGAGAGGGGCAGCCCAGACCCCACAAACCTGCCTGCTCTAAATAGGTTCTGCCACTCGCTGCAACAACACAAAACATATGAGACTTAAATGGGAAGGAACTGAAAGGTTGTAAAGGCAGGACAGGACACAGTGCAGGTTTTCTGATCCCATGCAGACCGGGTAAAGGAGGAATCAGAGTCCTCAGTGGTTTTGCAGGTTTTTTATTGGGGTTTCACCAGGCATATGGCAGGCAGGAGTGCTGGCTGGGGGGGCTGGGAGGCCTGCCCCAGCAAGTCTTCACTCTATCTGAGCTCTCTGGAGTTCGTTCTGCTGCTCCTCAGCTTCTCTTTCGGCTTCGGCTTCTACTGCTGCTGCTGGCGTCCCCATGACGCCGCCCTTAAAAAGCACAGTCTTAGCTCAGCTGAATCCCATCTACCTATGCCCACACCCTACTCCAGGTGCCCGCCATCAGGCATGCATTCAGGACAAGGATCCATCATCTATCCTGATGGCGGGAGGGCAGAAAAGCCTGACATTTTCTTACACCCTACAAAGGTGCAGCAAGGTAAAGAAAAGGAGAGCCAGGCTAAATTTCTCAAAGGAAAGGAAAATTTATTGCGCCCCAGGCGGACCTCACGGACCCAAGGTGGGGGTCCGTGAGGCCGCGCCCATTGTGAGGAGAGATGTCTCTTTTATAGGGTGAGGAGAGGTCAGGCAGGAAAACTGGGTTGGTAGCGGGGAAACAAGTTTAGGGGGAACAAAGTTGATTTGGGTGGAGCCGAGTTGTTTTCTCCTGTTTATGGCTTCAGTTTAGGTTTGATGGTATCAGTGGTCCTGGTGTCAGGGACATCTTGTTATTTTCTGTGTGGGCTTCCTCATTCCTGGCCCCTGCATTGACCTTTCAGGAACTTTATTACAATTAGGAAACAATACAGGAAAGGCAAAGAATCTAGTTTCTAAATCAAGCACCCAAAGTTACCCGTCCCCTCATGGGTAAAAGTCCACCCAAGCAGAATTGGCCCAGAGCAAGGCCCCAAAGCCTGCCCCAAGTCTAAAGCACCTTCCAGTGGGGACTTGTGGGTCTGCTACTGCGAGGGCCCACCAGCTGAATAGGCTGCCATTTTGTCATCTAAACAAGGTCAAAAGGGCCCATCCAGTTAGGAACAGGAGCCCAACCCTTCTG